AAGACCAGCCCTGCGTACACCTCCACAAAACCGCAGATCTTGCGTCTTACCGTGCCAGGCAAAAATGGACGCCCCGACCCCCGCCCACCCCATACCCCGGAGGATCTCTAGCCGTGACCTCAGTCGTGGCAAGGCTGTTTTGACGGCTGTTTCAGGGGGGACTCTGAGCAACCAGAAAGAAATGTCAGTGACTGGAGTTAGTTAGTTAGTGATTGAGCTTCAAAGGCGCTTTAACGCGCGCCTGGGTTTGGAAGTTCAGGCCTTTCAGGCGCACTGCCTAGGGGCGGAACGTCTGAGCCTGGAGTTGCTGGTACGTTCCTTTCGTCAAAGCATGTAACAGTCTTCTGACGTTGGACTGCGGCCGTAAACGATTGCTTTTTGTTTAGGGTTTTGGTTTTGCTCAGCGTGACAAGACTATGAAACAACTGGTATTTTTTTCTTAAATAGTAATGTGAGCCAATCTCTCTGTGACCCCGATGCATTTTTTTTTCCAGCACGCCTCCACTTCCTCTTACCTAGCATTTGCGCAGTCGCCTTCACCTCAATCTGAGCCCAATCCGGAAACCAACATTTTGTTCCTTTCCTTCCAGGCAGCCTAGAAATCCAGTTTAAACCTGTATATACCAATTGCTGTGGCGCACCAAAAGGCGCCCACCAGGCATTACATATTTTGTTCAGGCCTTCAGCATGCCCAGGGTATGGTGGAGAGTATGATGATGGATCGGGTGGGGCTCGAAGCGCACACATGGTCTCCATGAGTGCACGTGGCCTAGAGGAGGCCCGCACGTTTGACAACATCCCCCAGGGCTACCTGCCACCAGTTGGATTTTGTCATGCACTCAGCTGCCCTGGCTGTCAAAGTCTTTCGCCATTTTTTTTCGCAGTCGAGGATGGCAAATCCAGACGTAAATCAAGCTTAAACGTGAGGACACGGCAAGTCCCTAGGATGGAAGAAGACAGTATTTGTATTTGAACTCTACCATTGTGTAGGGCCGGCGTGCATGCCTTCTTCGCAGGATCAGCTACTCCGGCATTAGTTGAACGACATTGTACAAAGGAATGGTTCGGCTGCGTGCATGATAATGCAAGCTGTGGTGGTAAAAGAGGCTTTCGGCGACTCGCCCAGTTCTGATTACGCTGCCGGGCATGGGCGTCATTGCCATTTCTTGACATATGATATTGCGTTACACTGCTGGCGACTATTTTGTCCGCAGAAATTCGTTCGGCGACAAAAATATACTCTTACCACCCCTGTTTTCGCCTTAATAGCTTTCATGGCCCGGCTCGTGTTGCTTTAGACCACAGCTTGCTGCGATCGAGGCAGACTTCGGAGGCAGCGCCATTGGCCGGACCCGATTAATCACTAGCGCATGGGGGATGGACAGTGGCGAGATCGCTCAAAGGGAGTGCTCTACATTTATATGGAGTTTTGAACTGAAACAGCCATCTTGAAGACCTTCCGGTGCTGTTCTCAATCCTACCATTCTTAAGACTCTCTAGTGTCTTAGTTTCTTAAGTCTCTCTAGTTTCTGGTCTACTCGCCCGCGAAAGTTTGGAAAGGTTTATCGAGGAGGTTATTTTAAAGTCACCTTGACATTCATGACCTTAAAATAACGTCATTCCAATCCTGTCATTCCATAAGCCATGCGGCGATCAAGGCCAAGAAAAATATGATTGTCGAGGTGTTCATATCTGACGTTCGTGGGCGCAAATTCCAGATATTGCGACATACAATTGGCTCTCAATGTTGTGCAGTGCACGATGACGTAATTAAACAATGACAAACCAAGGAGCATCTCTCTTATCATATGGCAACGGGAAATTGTGCTGTCTAGAGGGGTCTTTTCCTCTTCGGTTGAATATGACGGCCTCGGCGGAGAAGATCAATTTGATCTATCTGAGATCTCGAGAACTAAAAGAGCTAGCGACACCAAACTCACAGGGTAAGGAGTGGTCTATGTGGAGTTAGCTTTCTTGCAAATCGGGAGGTTCCTAGGTCGTGACCTTCTGACCAAATAAGTTTAATCGTTAAAGGTCAGATCGGTGTTTGCGAAATGGTCCCAGATCTCCTCACGTAACCAGCTTTATAAAAAATCATGGTAGAGATGACTCAAAGGACATTCTGTAATCCATTTCTCCTCCAAATATGGGCTTTGCTCCCCTCACCCCTCTCCCGAATTATTTACACGAAGCCCCACCTCTGTTTCGATTAGCACGCCTTCTCAGGCAGCCATTCTGTTGTGGCGCATGCCGTCGCCGCTCATCGCCCGTCCCAAGGGTCCCCGCCCGCTCCGCTGCTGACCTGCTCGGCGGCTCGACCCGGAGGTGTCGGCGGACACCGCCGGGCACGAGCTGCACCCCCGAGCCGCATCCCTGCTACACCACCGCCGCTTTCATAAGACACAGGTAGTGGTTCTAGCCCCGTGCACAGCCGCAGCGCACAGCCCCCGTCCCGCCCCCTCCCCCTCCCCGTCCAGCTTTCAAGGCTGGCTAATATATTCTGATCAGTCCCAGTCTTAATTCCTATCTCAGCCTCAGGTGGGCCTGAGCAGCCGGATAAGCGAGAGACGATGACCCGGACGTGCAACACGTCAGCTGGCGGCCGGTTCCGCCAACCATCAGGGTATTCGTTAGACCGGTGTCGCGTGAACAGCGACGCTGCCATCAGCTAACGCTTTATCAGCAGCACAGGTCTCATTCCGGATCCAATTCCACACAGGTGAGCTGCATCCGAAATCAACGATGAATGGCACCTCTGCTCAACACAGACTCCCCTAGCTCTGTTCTCTCCGATATAACCTCGTTTGGGTCAAGGCTCCAGTGACACCTGTGGGCGCTAGAGGTCACTTGCACAGCACGACTCACGGCCGGAATCAGTGACAGCGACAGTGACAGCGACAGTGACATCGTCAGCATTGTGGCCCTAGACACTGAACGCGTCCGGCGAATGCACGAATGCGCGACGCTCTCAGCTCTCCTGAAGGTCAGCGGTGGCACAGACGAGTGGCCCCACACTCAGACGGCAGGGCATGGCTCGTCCGGGACCGCCACATGTTGACACACCCCATCACGGGAAATCCGACGGTACTACGTCATTCGTTTTCGTATCCGCTTTCTCGTTGCATTCTGCGTCCGCGCGGCGCCCCGCTTGTCCGGGACTGGCTGCAGGCATCAGCCATGAATGAGCCCAAGTGTTTCCGGTTTGGCCCTCGTTCGAGAGCCATGTGCATCCCCGAAACAGACCCTGTGGAGGCTCATGTGCCATGGATGGACAGCCAGGTATGTGTAGCTCCGCCCTACCGTTATCTTCTTTCCTTCATCCCGTAGCTCTGAAATGGCCATGACTGACCGGAATAGTTCTCATGCAGACAAACAAACAACCAAGCCAGCGCTACATCATCCACCTTGTTCGCCTATTTTTCGTTATATCTTGCACCCTCGCGATGCCCCGCTAGTCTGGAGCAGGCTGCAGGCATCAGCCATGAATTGGCCGAAGTTCTCCCTGGAGCACATTCTCAGCAGAGGTGTCCCTGTGTGGGCAAAGCCTCGGCGGATGGACCCACAGGGCCTCTAGTTTTGCACCACCGTCATCCATTTCTCTTCATCCCATTCCCTGAAATGGCCATGACTGGCCAAAAGGGGACTAATCCAAGCAACAACAGCACGACTTAGCACAGCTTAGAAGGCGACCATAAACTATGAGTGAGGCACTCAAGGTAATGCTCATTGCAATTCACAGAGCGCGGTCATAAGTACCAAAAGTGAGAGGGTAGGGTGAGCATCTAACAAGCTCACAATGTGCCGGTTCCACAGCAGCGACGGCACATGCACTTCCATGTCTTTCCTTGTCTGTTGCTCATGTTCGTGAAAAAGGTAACGGTGTGCAACGGTTTTCGGTATCGTGACCTGAAACAGAGCATTGGGAACCCCTCTATAACACCTTAACCAAGCCAATGCCTTTTTACATGACCTAGTAGCATTTGAACAATATGACACCGAGGCCAAGAGTAAAGACCAGTGGCTGACCACTGGTCTAAGCTCCAGCATGATTCGAGTGTCACATATTGACACGCTCAATATCAACAGACAAAATATCGACCGCAAAATGTAAAAGCGTAAAATATTGAAACGCCAAACGTCCACGCCTAAAAATACCGACGCCTCAGAATATGCTTACGCGAGCCATCGATTGTGCAAAGCATCGATACGAAAATATCGACACCGTAAAATAGCGACATGCAAAATACCGACATGCAAAATATTGGCCTGGCATATCATGGCTTCAGTTGTTAGGGTCAGGTATGCTGATGCGTGACTTTTACAACTGTTTGGTCTGTGATAGTACTTGCATCGAACTTAGTGCCCTCACTTGTTCTATTACCAAGCAGTTAGGTCAAAAATTTCAAGAAGTAAATACGCTGGTACCAGATGAAAGCACTGAAACAAGAGCCGGTAAACAAATGTGCCAATGAATTTACTGGAAAAGTTAATGCTTTAAAAAGACTTTAAAAAAGACTTCGAAGCTTTCGGGTTTCTCAGCTCTCGTGCCTTCATTATACGTCCTTGGTGATGTGAAGTACTAGCGACAGGAAAACATTAAGCGGTCATTGGAAACCTTATGTACTTTTTCAGCATTTCTGGCACTGATCGAAATCTCGGCCATTTTGAGTCGGAGATGCTCATCTAGATACGTACGCGTTAAGTTAAACTCTTACCGAAGCGGTGGCATTGTTCATCTAATGGAAATGCATGCATGCAGGTCTTACAATATGCTTCTTTCAGGATATCTTGCTGATAAAACATTTCCAGATGAAGACAATCCCTTAAAGCAACCGGTGCCAGATATCCATGCAGACAATAGCTATTTCAAGTTGTTTAATAAATCGTCTGGATGTAATCATGTCATAATGCATATATACGGAGCGCTTTGAACTGATATATTTAAATTCTTCCTAATCCCATTTGGGTGAAACGCTCACTGTTGCCTCCTGTTGTTCCAGGGATATCAAGCCGGACAACATTTTGCTGGATGAAACAGGTTAGTGAGATATTGGGAGTGGACCAAAAATCCTGACCGATTACAGGCTCTAGAGCCTGCAAAGTGAGACACTTTCGATTGCGTGGTTGTCTCTCTTTATTTTGATGCAGATCTGTGACACGAGATGATCAGCAATGTGATCAAAATTTGAAGAAAGCGAGAAGTATTCCTACCAAGTCAGCCTTTTGTGCTATACTCTCCAAACACTTCGATCGGGCGCAGATCCTGAAAAGTTGAAAGCTTTACTTTAAGTTTCATTTCAACTGAAACATACATAGTTTCAATTTCGATGCAATTCAGTTCTGTGAATTGCTCTCTTGAAGTGTTAGTAGAGCGTGTTCATGCGGCGGCACCGCTAATGTAAGTACTTAGGCCCGATAATTATGTCAATATGCGACGTTGAACGCTTGGGTGACGTAAATGTTCACTTCTTAAATGTGATGTACTTACCAGTTCATTGTACTTCTGTCAATCGTGCATGTATCAGAAAAAAGACACTTCATGGGCCGACAGCAGTGCCTAATTTTATGTTTCGGAGCTGTTCTTCTCACTCCTGGCCTTCTACCTCTCGTGAGAAGATAGGTCCAATCGGAGAACGATTTTAGAAATACAGAAGAACACGAAGGACGCCATTTTGTTGAACTGAAGATAATTAGTATTTCAGCCGCCTCATGAAGGATTATCTATTTCTCAGCTTAAGGAACTGATCATTTCATAAAATACCGAACGCTTGCCGTTGCAATGTCAATTCCGAAAGCCGGAAAAATTAATTTATCAATTGGTTTTTACTCGATTGCATTTCTTACTTACGGCGTTTGTTTACTTTTCAAGGTTGTTTTGCTTTGTTTATCCAATCTGCATTAACGGGGAAGAGAAGCTCGCTTTTCTTCTAGTGTGAGTTGCCATGTCGCGTGAAATATTGCATTTACCTTGGCACAGATCTTTGAAGGTGTGTTGTAAAAAAGCAATGTTCGAAAACCCTGTGTTATTGGAATCCCGCTGCGCAGAATGAACGGAGGGTAGTGCTGCTTTTTTGCTAGGTTCATTTGTCTCTTCATGCTCCGGTCTCCCATAAACATGATTTAAGATTTACATTCTATAACCTGCGTCGGGACCAGAAACGTCGGTCAGGCCCACAAATCAAAGTAGTTATAAATATCGCCAACAGTTGGTGATATCGATCAACAGTGCTTGTACAGTTTATTTGCAGCATCCCGATTGTGAATTGCCGGCATCCCGCTCCAACTCCGCTAGCACGGGAGTAGCTGGCTCCGCCCACATGGCTCACACGCCAGCGGTCGCACGGTTCCGTTGGCGGTGATAGTCGCCACCGCCAATATGTGCATAACATGTGCGCACCAGCGCGTGTCCTCCAACCGTAACGATATTGGTAGATGGGATCAACTTGTCCCTGGAGCGCCCGGCTGCCAACTGGACGTGCGTGAGAGGCAGCTGACTGATTGGCTTATTGTTGGCGGGGAGGATTGCTGTCCGATCGCTGCGCGGAAAGATGTTTGTTTCTAAATGTCTCTGTGGAAACCTGGGTGACATTTGTCCAATCATCTGCTCATGTACGCAGAAATGCCGTAGGCTGCCTGTGTAAACATGCAGGCATTTTAGTTCACGGCGAGTAGTCTGCGGCAGGAAAAAAGCGGGGATGCTGCCACTGGTCAGTGGCAGCATCCCCGCTTATTTCCAGCTCGACAAGCCGATCTAGGGAACTTATTTAAACAAGATCTTGGTACCAGCCTAGTTCTGCAAAGTATGTGAGAACAGATCAGAAAAATGGCCAACGCTATTCCCAACATAGCCAAAAAATTGTTTCTTTCTTTAAATGTGGCTCTCCACAAATTTTGGGGGCGAATAGAGAACTACATTCATGGATCGCAGGCCTCCTGTTTCAACCCCAGTCAATAATGTTTCGTTCGGACTCCGCCCGCCTCCTAATGGTTTGCCAGCTCGGCACACAAACCACCTCTTGGTATGCTGGGGATTCCAATCATGCTAATCGGGCCCCCCTTGGGCTGGCAGGCCTTCCTATGTTTCTTAACAAATCTCCAAATTCCTGTCGCAAAATGCAATTAACGCGCGCCATCGCGTATCACGCCATCATATCAAGTTCCGCCCCGTATGGCGCGCCACAGAGAAGCGCCACCGCGCGCCGTCGAGTGGCGGGAAAGCCCAGTCTCGTGCGGCGCTGCGAGCTCTCAAGTGGATTACATCTGCCTCACGTCCTCGACTGACGGGGTGCTGCGTGGTATACCACCGCTTAACGCCGGTCTTGGGAAAGCTTCTAACTGGTGCCTCCTCAGGGAGGCTGGTTTATTTCTAAACTTCGTTGTAAACTGCTCTCGTCGGGCTCATTCACGGCAAAATGACGTCAGTGCTGTGAAACAAATTTTAGTTTCCTGTGTTCTGCTTTGCATACTTCTTAGCAACCATATTACATGCATACCTACATTTCGTTTTAAAGCTCGCCGGAGCTTCGTTATTTTTCCCATCCTTGCAGTTGCAGAATGCCTCTCAAATCGAGCAGAAAACCTTCCCTGATCGACCGTGGCCACCGAATGTGATCTCGGGCGCCCTTGGCATTCGGCAGAAGTTTCCACACACTATCTTGTAAATGGGTAGCATGCCTTGAGTCGATCTGGTATGCTTCTACTCCATCATTTCAGGAGCTGGCTTATATTAAAACACACAGTTATACACTGAGGCACACAAAAAGTTCGTGTGAGCGGCTGAAATGAAATGCCAATACTCGCAGCGAGACTTTAATACGAGCGTTGATTGCAATATCGATTTCAGTACAAAACAGTCCGCGGGCAATTCATGTACAGTACGCTGGAAGAGAGAGAGAGAGAGAGAGAGAGAGAGAGAGAGAGAGAGAGAGAGAGAGAGAGAGAGAGAGAGAGAGAGAGGAGGGGGGGGGGGGGGGGGAGAGGGAGGGAGAGAGAGAGGGGGAGGGATAGAGGGCATATGCGAAAAATATATTTTTTGGTATCGAATAGCATTGTACGAATGTACCCGGAATTAACTAGAAGGCATAATAGATGAATGAGACAGTCACTGATCTTATCTGGCCCGAAAATGCTTGCCCATCAACACTGGTCATGCGTGGTTAGTTTGTCGCTGCTGACAGTTGGTGCTCAGGAGTAACCCAGATGTGTCATTTCCATTATAGTCATTAAACGGGGGACCGATTGGGAACACGTCCCTCCAATTTCGGTGTAGGCTTAACACCAGCCTTAGCTAAAAAATCGGCGAGGATGGGCAGTTGTATTCGATGTCAGTGGACGAATTTCCCGTCCACATTTGAATCGTGGCAAATGCATTGGATACGATGACGCTCATTGCTGGAAAGGCCATTTAATGGAGCAGGGATTATCACCAGTTATGTTGGTAAGACAGTGCATGTTCACAAACACAATTGCGTGGTCGATGTCAATAGAGAAGCGGTGTTATTTGTCCGGGGATATGGGTCAGTCATTCCTGGATTTAAAGATAGGACTGATAGACATGCCACCTTATGTTACAGCTGCCACGTGTGTGATGTATTGTAATACCCTGGCTGCAATGTTTAGCACGCTTTAGCACGCCAAACCTATCACTTATTCACAGCACCATCGCGCAGCGATCCATCGTCCAGGGGCACACACATGACGCCGTGCAGCGGGACAACAGCCGGGGCATTCTCAAACCCACGGCGCGCGGCTGCAGTGTGTAAAGGTTACTGCATGAGAGGCACACCACCATACATTATAGCAGGCGGCTGCATCGTGCAAAATGGATTGGGCTGAGAGACGAGCCTCATCGCGGCCACCTTCAGGGATCCACTAGCACTCGAGAGCGGCCATCCATACGGCGAGCGCACCTCAAGGCGGAGTTTAATGTCGAAGCCGGTCGCCCACTTATGGCGGCTGGATTCGGGGCGGGAAACACTGTTTGCTTCGTGGCAAGTAGCTTCCGTATATCTTATCATGCCGTGGCACATGGACTGCCTCTGGTGCGACCGCAGCCTCAGTTGTTCTTCATCCAGGCGCCGGGTCACTGGGTCACTGGCAGATCACCGGGCAGGGGCGCGGTCAGCAAAGTCTGTCAGGGGGCGGGCGACCCACTGTGCCTGCCGTGGACGAGAGGCGACTCGACGACCCCCCTACGTCCGCCTCTAGTGCGGAGCTCCGCGCGAGATGGAAGCCCGGCTGCGTCGAGTCGTCCTCCAGAGGCACGTCAACACTTACCACTGCACCCCCGGGGCGGCCGTGCCTGTCGCCGGATCGGCGAGACGAACCTTGGTAGCGAACGCCTGATGTACTGTGTGGAAGAGGTGCTGGCTTTTATTGTACAACGTACCTGTAAAAGCCTGTGAGCAGCAATAGCAATAACCGACGTAAAATGTGTCGAGCCCCGAGAAGCGCAGTCGACGAGATTACCTGGATACATGCGACACATTTGTAAATGGCCCCTCTGCTATAAAAATAATGCTGCACGCGACGTACGTACGTATTATAGGAGGACTGGAACAACGGGAATTGTCGGGCCCTATGGTGTTCGCTCTGTGATTGTGCCGACAAATTAGTTTGTGGCATGCATTGCTGATTATTAGTGGTCCCACCTCTAACTCTACGTAGAATTATTACAACTGACACGGTCATGTGAAATGCAGGCTCGTGAATCAAATTATCCATGGTGGTTTGCTAAGGGATCAAAAACAACCCACCGCATTCAAGAATTACCACAGATAGCTCTGGAAAGTTGCTTCTCCGGCCCTATAACTGAAAGCGTCGTCTGGTTGTTGGAATCTTCTTAAGCCGCACATCGGACGCCATGGTCTGGCCATAACCTCTGATTAAGTTGATCATCCCGGGGCCCGCGCCTTGATCAGGTTTAGTGCCACTTATGGGAGCAATCGATGCAAACTTCTGACGCCGTATAACAGTTGATTGCCTCTGCCGGGTCGTGGAAGGAAGTTGTGAGATTAGCTCTCGGGGAAACGTTCGGGG